CGGTATTGAGTAATAAATGCTATTTAATAATGAAAAGTCAACTTTTTACCTGTACTTTATATTTTCCTTATATAGGCACTATTATGGGCTAATGGGCTAATGGGTCTGCTGAATTAACCTTGATTTTGGCCTTTTACTTAAAGTAGATAATATTCTGATTATTACCCTTAATTAGGTTAATTACCTTTTAATCTTGACAAAGTGTATCCGTCCAAACTAGGCCAAATAAGTACTCTTTTTCCTTTTCCTACATATAAGACCGAGTAGTTCCTTATCCAATACAAATTCAAATAATAATCTAAAAAAAATTGAGAGTAATTTTTTTTTATCTTATCATTGATAATTACAAAATAATTTTGTTTACACAAAATTACACTTACAGAATTAATATTAATATTGTTCTCATCGTAATTTTAAGGCTTTTTAACATAAATAAAATAAAAAAATTATTATTCCCTAAATATCTTGAAAAGAAAAAATTACGTAAATGTTCTAAAAGTATATATAATAGAAGTTAATTTAAATCGACTTTCATTTTTGTTTTGAAAATTTTTACCCAGAAGTTGATTTAAATCGACTTCTATTTTGCTTTTAAATTTTTTTACATAGAAGTCGATTTAAATCGACTTTTATTCTGTTTTGAAATTTTTTTTACACAAAAGTTGATTTAAATTGACTTCTATTTTATTTTTAAATTTTTATATAAAAATTAATTTAATTAAACTTTCATTCTAGTTTCAAATTTTGTTTACACATAAGTCAATTTAAATTAACTTTCACTCACACATGAATATGTTTTAGAAAGAAGTTAATTATAATTAAATTTGTAATGCATAATTAAAGTTGATTAGAAAGAAGTCTATTATAAATAAATAAAAATTTGTTACTTGATGATGAGAAAATTTTAAAATTAAGTGTAAAAATTAGAGTGGGATGATAACATTCATTAGCAATCGTTTTGCACATCTGTTTTTAAACCTTACAACAAATTTTGATACAATGACACAATGTGTTGCACACAATATGCATGATATGCTGAAAGTATGTCACTCATTCCTTGTAGCTTTTAGAGCTAATTTGATTGCATGATAATTATATGAGACGTTCAATAAATAATTCCTTAGCTCAAGTCCTTAGAGATACAGCTGCTTTGAAAGCATCAACGTAAAAAAAAAAGATAAGCAAAAAATGTGAAGTAGAGGGATCCCATCCGACGAATTAGCTGCTTCATCCCTCGGTTAACTATCACTACCAAGTCTCCCTTCTAATTGATAGCTTCCACTGGAGCACTTGCCTTCGTGATGAATCCCTTAAGCTTTTACTATCTTTTTCCTTATTATGACGGATGAGCTGCTCCCTTTCCCGATTAACTACCTTTACTTGGTCTTCCTTTTTAATTGATAGCTTCTGCTGGAATACTTGCCTTCGTGATGAATTCTTTGAGCTTTTACTATCTTTTTTCTTATTCTTGCTAGTCATCGACTGTATGGTTTCTTGTCTTGCTCTTGTCGAGCTCCAGCCCGATCCCTATCAGGTAATTAAATTAGCTCTGGAAGCTATAAGGAATGAATGACATCCCTTCAGCATATCATGCATATTGTGTGCAACACATTATGTCATTATATTAAAATTTATTGTAAGGTTTAAGAACAGAGGTGTAAAGCGATTGCTAATGAATGTTGTCATCTCACTCTAATTTTCACACTTAATTTTAAAATTTTCTCATCTTTAAAAGATAACTTTTTATTTATAATAGAGTTCTTTCTAATCAACTTTAATTATGTATTATAAAATTAATTATAATCAACTTTTTTCTAAAACATATTCATGTATGAGTAAAAGTTAATTTAAATTGATTTATGTGTAAACAAAATTTGAAACCTGAATGAAAGTTGAATTAAATTAATTTTTATATAAAAATTTAAAAATAAAATAGAAGTCAATTTAAATTGACTTCTGTGTAAAAAAATTTAATCGACTTTTGTGTAAAAATTTCCAAAATAAAAGTAAATTTAAATTGACTTCTGTTATATGTACTTTTAAGATATTTACATAATTTTTTTCTTTTTAGGATATTTAGGAAATAATAATTTTTTTATTTTATTTGTGTAAAAAAGCCTAATTTTAAAGCATTTTTAATTTATAATACATACATTTAGGACTCTATATTAGTAAAAAAAAATTCATTATACAGATATTATTAAAGTAAAAAATTAAATAAAAGATTTAAATTATATTACATGATTTTTTTAAATTTAAACTGACACTTTTAACAAAAAAAAAAAGAGAGGATAAAATTTATGATTTTTTTACTTAAAAATTACCAATAAAACATTTTGGCACTTTAAAATTGTTTATTATTTTTTAAAAATTTATCAGAAACAAGATTTGAAATATCGTTATTTTGTCTTTAAATTTTTGCACATATATAAAAATTGCATTTGGCGTGTCTTGAAGTTCATGTTTTTGGTAATTTTAAAATTTTATTATTTTTTAGTATATATAATTTTTTTAAAAACCCCATTTGGAACCCCAAATTAAGATATTTTTCCCTGTAGAAATTGGAATGGAGTTATAACTCCCTCCGAAGTATATTTGGGGATGAGGATAATTTATTACGTACATGTTTTATATTTTGACTAATTTCATTTAAATGATAGATTTTATTTAAAACAAAATCATAATTAAACTTTTTCTCTTCTATCTCCATCCATTATCATGCTCCTTCTACCGTGGAAGTCCCATCTCTGATAAAAATACCAAAATACCCTTTATTACGTACATGTTTTATATTTTGACTAATTTCATTTAAATGATAGATTTTATTTAAAATAAAATCATAATTAAACTTTTTCTCTTCTATCTCCATCCATATGTTTTCTCATGAATTCAAATTTAATACAAACATAATTTTAGATTAATTATTATAAAAAATAAAATTTTAATTAATATCACAATTTATAACTGAATTGCATTATACTGTTAATATATTTAAATTAAAATTTCATTCACTTTCAGAATTTATTTTAAAATATAATTGTTTTTCCTCGTTTTACTTTTACCGACCTAATGCCTCTATTCTCAAAATTTCTCTCCATTGTAACAAAAAATGACACAGTGCAGTGTTAAAATTAAACTTTTAATTCCTTTAAACCTTAAATTTAAAATAAAAGTATAAAATGTGAGAAAAATGGAAACCATTGCAGTGATGCATCAGTGCACTGTTTCAGTTGCAGCACCTTGTTCCTTTCTCTCTGTCTAGAAGAATAATAAACAATGGGGTTATTGTTGATTATTAATTTATTATTCCAATACTGATCTTAACATTTTGTATAATTTAAACGAATGTTATTATAAAACACAGAGGGTTCGTATCAAATAAGGTAAGGTGCTTGTGCATGTGCGATGTGCTTCCTTGTTGATGGTTGATAGTTTATTTTTATTCCTTTGGAATGTAAGTTGATGATTGATAGCTGATTGTTTATAGTTAGTAGTTGTTTGATAGGGATACACAATTCATCATTTCATTAATTTTGACAATATCTTCACCAAGTAGTTGGCCAAGGAATTAGTGCCTATTTATTTCTTTGTTGGAGTATAGTTAATAGCCATTTTGGATCAGTGTTTTTTTTAAAAAATATTTTCAATATTTGTGTTATGTATATTTTTTACTGAAACGTTATTATTTTTTAGTATAAAGTTAATAATATAAAAATCAAATTAAAAATTTTATTATATATATGTGAAGAACTACTTAATTTTCCTGATAAAATTTTTTCTATAAAATAGATTCAATAATTTTTAAGAATCTTTAATTATATCAGAGATTTTATTCTCAATGCTATGAGATATACAAGTCTTCTATCAGAGTTTTTGAGGAAAAATTTTACGTCCTTTTTCAACCAAAACTTTTTTTTTAATTATAATATTTTAAAACAATTACTTCGAATAGACAAATAACAAAATTGATTATATGTCAAATTGTCAGCCTTCAATTGATGATAGTATTGAAAATTTGAAACCAATTAGCTTCAAAGCAACAATTTCGGATATGAATATCACTACAATAAATTTTGTTTATATTGGAATCATTTCATGACATGTATATTTAAAACAATTATTTATATATACAAATTCCTTTATAATTAAGCATTAATCCTCAAAACAAAACTACCTATTTAAACTTTTTTCTTTTACAAAATACAAGTAAATTTATCAACCTTTATAGTATAAACTAATAATTCTATCTGTACATTATCCATTGAGAAGAATATAATACAATGTTGTGATATAAATTGCTCCGGTAAATATTTCTTAAATTATTTATTTTAATTTACAATAATACTAAATAATATTTATATTTTATATAAGAAAATATAATAAACTAAAAGATATAGTGCTTTTAATATAATAATTTGTCAATAATAAATTATTAATGTTTCAATCTTTTACGGACGGAATCATTTAATTTGGAAAACGTACCATAATGACATTACTAAGTAATCCAATAAGAGAAAAGTAATTTATGATTTTTAAAATATACATTAAAATAATATCCTTGAGTTTGTATTTATTCTCATATTTTTTCTATTAATATTCTAATATTTAAAATTTTATATAAATTAGAAATAACCATACAATATACAGATAGTTATTGATTTATTTTTTAAAAAAGAAACGAAATCCCTAAAAAAATGTATTTGGTTACAATAACTATGCAACGAAAATTGGTTAAATATTTGTTTAGTAAAAAAAAAAGAATTATAAAAAATAGGAAGAAAGGATATAATGGTAAATAGAGGAGGAACGCGTAGCCCATTCGCATCTCACGGTGGATCCAACAGGGAAGGCGTGTTCATTCTGCAATGGAAATCCCGCCCTTTTTCCGTTTCTGTCTCACTACTTTTTCCTTTTTGTTTTTTTAATTAATATTATAAATATAATATTAAATTTCAACTTACTTTTTAATTAAGTAAGATGAAAAAGCAGGGGTTCAAAATCACACGCTGAAACGAAAATTTTGATAATATAACAACAATAATATTGGAGTTGTTATAATGTTTACTTCTTTGAGGGGGAAGAGGAAGAGAGGGATTGTAACAGTATTCGTTTAAGCTTCAATTCCATTTTCCCTCTCTCGCTCTCTGCAACCTTCATTCAGGTTTCACAAATTCCTCTCTAAATCTTTTTCCATCTAATTCATTGCGTTGCGTAGATCTATTCCCTCTCCTCTTTCTATTCGTTTTCTCATCAATTTTCTTTTTCCTTCATCGTATCTCTAGATTCCATCGTTAGCTGCATTTCCTTTCACTATGAAAACGTTTTTCGAATTTTCTCAATTTTCAATGTTAGGTTCCGCAATACTCAATTCGGTTTAGAATTTTAATGGAGCACTGTGCGTACCCTACGATTTTATTTTCGTTCGTAATTAAGCAGTTTTTTTATGAATTGTTTCGGAATTTATCTCTTCTTTTTGCATATTGTTTATATGTGTGATGTGATTTCATTTACTTTGCCAGTTGAAGGATGCTGTTTTGTTCCAAGTTAATCGATCATGATTCTTATCTTTTACTTGTCTTCTCGATGTAATTTTTATGAATAGTCTTTTCATTTTTTTCGTTTTCTGGAAAATGTACCACGTTAATTAACTCCATTCTGGAGAACCATCATTTTCTGTTCTGTATTTTTCTGCACTTCAACTGGTTCATCATGCTTTGCTGCCCATACTCACTGTGTTTTTTTGTATCTGTCTAGTTATTGTTTGACAGTCAGATATCTCTTTTCCTTAACATAATTGTTAACTATGACAATGAGTGACATTTCATCTTAAATGCTCAGGTTTTGCGTCAGACAGATGAGGTCAATCAGATGAGTTTAACCATGATAGATTTGGGAATTTCAATTTTGAGGGTGATCACGAGCCCTGATGCTTCCTGTGCATCTATTTTTGGGTGGCTGATCACTGGATCATTTGGCCTAATGGCTGTCGTATATGCTGTTCTAAAGTGGCAGCGAAGATCATCGTTGAATTGGATTAAAGCTGCAGCCCGAGAAAAGAAGAAAGTTTGGAAAAAGTTTAAAGTACCTCTATCGGTTCATTTGTGGGTTGAAGATTTTACTTACAGAGAACAGCCATCCACTTGTTGTTTCTGCTTGACCTCACTTTGGCCTTCTCAAAATTTAGCTACAACAGCCTCACCACGTACTCCTCTCCATCGTTGCTCTGTTTGTGGTGTCGCAGCTCATTTCCTTTGTTCTCAGTTTGCAGCAAAGGATTGCAAATGTGTGGCTCAGGCTGGTTTTAGTCATATTCGACATCACTGGTCGGAAAGATGGGTTAATGTGGATGAAAATAATGAGATATCTGCCTTCTGTTTCTACTGTGACGAGCCATGTGGTGTTCCATTTGTTAAAGCTTCTCCTACATGGCATTGCCAGTGGTGTCAGCGCCTAATTCATGTGAAATGTCATAACAAATTGACTAGAGATTCTGGTGATTTTTGTGATTTGGGTCCTTTGAGGCGAGTTATCCTTTCTCCTCTATGTGTCAAAGAAGTTGATGAAGATCAAAAGGGAGGGCAATTAAGTTCTATTATAACCTCTTCTGTTCATGGTCAGATTAGAAAGCGGCGTAACCGCAACAAAAATGGAGGTGGTTGCCATCCTAATGGTAGGTCACGCGGGTCCTCAGTTACCGATGCAACATTATTTGAATATGTGTTGAATGGTCTTGACTGGAATAAGTCCAGTGATGATAAGATCTTTGATCACATGAATAATGGTATACTATTAGGAAATGGTTTAACTGCTACCCCTAGCCAAATCAAGAAATACTCATTGGTTGATTTGCCACATGATGCAATCCCACTTTTGGTCTTCATCAATGCTAGAAGTGGTGGGCAGCTTGGACCTTCTCTTCATAGGAGATTGAATATGCTACTAAATCCTGTTCAGGTGATTACTTTGTCCTTGGTAAACAAACATTTTTATCAAAATAATGTCATCTGTTATCAAGCATGTTGCAGATATATCCTTTTGATCTTAGATTGGATCATATGATTTTTGTTAGATCAGTGATTATATTTACTTGTGATCTTATATCTAGAATCACTTGATCCTACCCATGCTGTGTTCTTCATACTTTAGTCATTGGGCATGGGCAATCAAGTTAAACCCAACCCATAAACCCAATGTGCACCCTCATGACTTGGGGCATATCATTCCTTCTCTCTTAGAGAAGGTCTGCTCTCAAACTTTGAGATAATTGAAAATATATCAAACTTGAGATTTGAACTTGCTGGCTTCAGTATACCACATGATATGATTAGGATTGCTTTCCACCACACGAAAAGTATAAGCTATTAGTAGAGACACAATTCTTGACATATAATACTTTGCATTTGATGCAGACCCTTCACCTTTTAAGCCATTGAGGATGCCTTACTAAGTTGAACTCAACTCACAGACCCAATTAGTACACTCACTGCCCTTTGGACATAACAATTGTAGACATGAAAAAATGAAACTTCAGTATTTTGAGATGTAGTCTGTTTCAGATATGGTTGCTGAGTGATGAGTTTGGTGGAAGACAACTGCAACAAAATAAAAAACTCCCATTAAATAAGGTTCACTACATGAATTACACAATGCTGTTGAGTTCGGTCCTAAATCAAATTCTCAAAGATAGGTGAAGATAGCTTAAATCTAACTTATTTTGACTAATATTCTTAAAGCAGGGCAGTTGTTGAACAGTGTGCTAATATTTTTTTACCCACTTCAAATTTAAAAAAGAGGACTAATTTTTTTCATGTACTTTCTTATAATAGAAGGTTTTAACTCTCATAGTGCAACTTTGTGACCAGTTGGTTTAACATCATTTAATTTGGATTCATGATCATGAAATTTCCTTTTCTTTTTGTTAGAGCAAGGAGAACGTTTTTTTTTTTAATAAAAGAAATGCTGTAATTTCATCATTAAGCATTGTTGGGTATGATATTTTAACCTGTTCGTTGTTCATGAATGTTTGCAGTAATGCAAATGTTTTGGTGTTGTATTAATAATCTTCTTTAAAACTGCTGACTAGTTAATAAAAAGGAAAAGAAACTAGATTCATAAATAGTTAAAAGAAATAAAAAAAAATGTCAGGCAAAATTGTGTTTGTTCCTCCTACCATGCAACATGAGAAATTACTCATGTTTTATACTATTGTTATCTTTCAATTTTCTAATTGAATAGAACTTTCTGTTGCCTTTTTCCCCTTGAAATTCTCGGGCTTTTTATAGTGAATATCTGTGTGATATTACAGATTAATGTTTCATTGAATCCTACTAAATAAGTTGTTGAGAGCAAGTCATCTATGAAAAATATTTTCTCCTTTCTTCTGTAAACTAGCAGTACTTACCTGGATAAAGACAAGGTTTTTCCTTCATATTAGTCTCATTTGACATTTTCTGATTTGGTTATTTTATTGTAGATTTTTGAATTGAGTGCTTCTCAAGGCCCTGAAGTGGGCCTGAAATTGTTCGGAAGTGTACGATATTTTAGAGTGCTGGTATGTGGTGGGGATGGCACTATTGCATGGGTCCTTAATGCTATAGAAAGACACAATTTTGAGTCACCTCCACCTGTGGCCATTCTTCCCCTTGGCACTGGAAATGATTTGTCTAGGGTACTGAATTGGGGAAGAGGCTTCTCCGCACTTGACGGACAAGGCGGATTAACCATGCTTTTGCATAACATCAACAACGCAGCAGTTACTATGCTAGATCGCTGGGAAGTTAAAATTGCAGAAGAAAACTCTGAAGGAAAACCAAAAAGAGTGAAAACTAAATCCATGATGAACTATTTAGGTACTTCTCTCAAACTACAACCATCTAAGCTTGTTTCTTAAGAATTACTGACATCTGCAATCTGCTTTTATAGGCATTGGATGTGATGCAAAGGTTGCTTATGAATTTCATGTTACTCGAGAAATAAATCCTGAAAAGTTTAGTAGTCAGGTAGAAATTCTCCCTTCCTCAAAGTATCATTGTAACATATTCATTCATGTTAGTCCTTGTCAATTGTCTAGTTTTCTTTCAATAATTACCATTGTAAAGACTGAGCAGTATTTCATTAAAATTATACTACTGGTACATGCTCTAAGGATAAACTTATTCTAAATTGCCCTATTAGCTTTAGGGTACTTAATTTAGTTGACTGAAATATGAGGCAATTTAGATTGATTCTTTTATTGTTGTTTATTATACCTCTTAATGACAACCAGGAGAGACCATGTTGAAGATGAGTGGATGTCCAGCAACATGGTTTTTGGACATTTCAAAAAATTATGCATGTTTTCTTCATCATTTTTGGTTAATTTTTTGGTTCTCTTGTATGGGGTATTTAACTTGTGTAGGACCCACGCCATGCTTTCTTACTTACTTTTGGGTTTGTTTATCTCTATTGGTAATTCTATTAACAGTTTTTGAATAAATTACGATATGCAAAAGAAGGAGCAAGAGATATTATGGACAGAACTTGTGCTGACTTGCCATGGCAAGTATGGCTTGAAGTTGACGGGAGAGACTTGGAGATTCCTAAGGTTAATTACTGGTTCCGATAATTTTTTCACGTTCTTATATTCATGTTATGAGTATTGTGTTCTTTAAATTTACACGCAGAGCATCATTTATTTATTCTTCTTTCATACAGGATTCTGAGGGCTTAATTGTGCTCAATATTGGAAGCTATATGGGTGGAGTAGATCTTTGGCAAAATGATTATGAGCGCGATGATGATTTTAGTCTTCAATCCATGCATGATAAAATGCTGGAGGTGGTATGTGTTTGTGGAGCATGGCACCTAGGAAAACTTCAGGTATTGGATATTTTAATCTTAAGCTCTTATGAAATATCAAATCAAGTCTTTATAATGATATTGTTAATTTAAATGTTTAATTATATTTTTTATTCTTGTAATTTGGACTATGTACAATTTCATTCTCTTAATTTGATTCTTGTAATTTAACTAATTAATTCTTTCTTCTTTTTAAATTAAGCAAAATTTAGTTTTTTTGTCGACTTCTTCTGCTTAAAACTATTAAATTTTTATTTTTCACTTAAAATTTTCATAAAATTAAATCAATTAAATTGTTATAAACTTTCATTTATTCAAAACTTACACACTATAACATCAAACTTAAATCAAATCATACGAAAATTCAAAAAATTTCTTCTTCAGCCCTACTATATCATTTCATAAAATCTTTCAAATCTTTTTAAGTTTTCATCTTCTATATTTAAAATTATTTTATATCACTAATAAATCTATAAAAAATTTCCAAAAACTTGAATAAAAAGATAATTTGAGAGTTTTAAGTAGAATAAAATTAATAAGGGACCAAATTTACTAAATTTTAAATTTCACATAGTCCAAACCAAAAAAACCATAAGTTTGATTAAGTGCCTAAATTAAATTATTCTACTACTTCAAAATTAAATCATATTTATAATTTCATATAATTATAAAGTAATGATGTGAATACATTTAAGGAAGTTATTGACGTATTATTTATTTTTTAATGATGTAGTTTAGTCATTTCACAAAGTAATTCAAATACCGAAAGTACCAAACTAATCCAAATTTTAACTTCATAAAGAAGTTTCACAGGTTCAATGATTCCCATCATTTCTTGATTAAGCATGGGTCTGAATTCTATGTTGGAGCCTCCCTAACAAGAATTTATTTTATTTTTTTAATTAACCTTCTATGTTTTTATTTTATATGCTAACTGTACATTGTCTAGGTTTTTTTTTGGTAAAAAACTGTCTTGGTTGTTAAAAAGCTCTGTCTTTGTTTCTGCTGCTAAGACACCTCCGGTTCCCCCTTATTCCTCCTTTCGTGCAGCGCAGCCCACTCTTAGTCAGCCCATTTCCCTCAAATATGGTTAACCGACATATCATTAAACCAATAAAATTAATAAACTTCTGGATTTATGTTGATGATAGTCTTCCATTTCTGTCCATTTGAAAGTCTTACTTTTCCATATAATATACTAAAGAGATTTTAAATTTGATCCAACGTCAGTGTTAATCTGTTTTCACATTAGTATCTTTTAATAGAGCTTGTCATACTATTTGGAAAACAGTTTTTTTTTTTTTATATACAAGTTATATATAAAACCTTGTCTATTGAAATGATTACTTTAGAGATTAATGTATTTATACATTTAAATTCACTCATATTTTATTGCAATGCTTATAAAACAGATAAAGATAAATTTTTAAATTGATGGTAAATTAGTAATACCAGTGCTTGATTTGCTCAATAGGTTGGACTTTCACAAGCAAGAAGGCTAGCTCAAGGTAAAGTCATCAAAATACATTCTTCCAGTCCTTTCCCAGTTCAAATTGATGGGGAGCCGTTTATCCTACAACCAGGCTACTTAGAAATAACTCATCGTGGGCAGGTAATGGCATGCTTTCATATTTTTGTAGTAAATCTAATTCTCACATTTTTAACCCAATGGTCAATGGTACATCTCTAGTATGTGGTTTAAGCGAAATACGTTCTATGCTTATTATGGGTGTAGAGTGCATTCCCTTCTGGGTTTAAAACAGTAATAACTCATCCAGCCTTTCATAAAATAAATAAATAGAACCATGGGTTTTATTATAATCACATTGACAATGAGAAAAAGGGAAACGGGGGCGTAGGTTACTGCTTGTCCCTATTGCAATAGTTAAAAACGGTCTGTACCTCCTGATGCCAAAGAGGAAAATATATCCAGATCATCACGGCTGCGCATGATGAGGTTTAATATCCTGTGTCAAAGGCGCATTATGCATTCTCCAATACCCTTTTCCCGTCCAACTAGTCTTCCCCTACTCCCAATTTCCCCCTCATTGAAAGAATAAAATACTGTAATAAAATACTGTAGACTTTAGCATGCGGAAGGCTTGATTGGCGTTGCCTATTGAACTGAATTAAGATGTTATAAAAAAATTCTTTTATAAAAGCTGTCTAGTTCACAAGAATTCTGAGCACAACTTAATTGCACTTTTGTACGGTAGTGTTGATATCATGCAGTCTTATCTTGCTTCTTCAGGCATTCATGTTGAGGAGGACTTCAGAAGATGAACCTAAAGGACAAGCAACTGCAATCATGACAGAGGTATTGCTAGATGCTGAGTGCAAGGGCATTATTAATGCATCTCAGAAGAAAGTTCTTCTCCAGGAGATGGCCATCCATCTTTCTTAAAGATCCACATCTCGTTCAGCCCACTTTATATATAGTTGCCCATTCATGGGTTTTTGCCCCTCTAATCCTTTTTCATAGGACCAGTTTTGGTAAAATCTCGGAAATAGAGAGAAAGATTAGTTCCACGAAGCAGCTAATATAAGAGTGAAAAACTTGCGGCGGCATGGTCAAGGTTTCCGTTTACTGTTTCTGTTGCGTCTAACATCCTGTGTATATTGTAACTCGGGCGAAATATAGTGTCATTAAATCACTGTAGTATTCTACCGTAATGAGATTTTCTTTTTTGAAAAGAAAAAAATGTTCAATTATTCTTAGTGCATTAAAAAAACTTAAACGTTTTTTTTTTTTTTTTGCTATAAAGTAAAAAATCCATTTACAATCCTTATAAGTAATGTAAAGCAATATTTTAGTAATGTGTATTTTTAATTTTTTTTTACATGACAAATTATGGATATATTTATTGGTTTTGTTACCATTAACTTTAAAGATTGATATGAAGAAAATGAAAGTAATTATTTTTATTAAAAAATGACATTCAGTGCAGTAATTTTTTTAAAAAAAGAATAATGGTTTGTTATCAGCGCAATATAAACTGTACATTGCACCCACGCGTCGTGTGCAAAATAGCTAAAATCCTTTTTTTGGATTTTTTTATTATACATATATTAATCAATGTTTAAGAAGTACGATAGAAATTAAAAATAAAAAAAATATTATTAATATTTCATATATTTTAACGTAAGTTTTTAGCAAGAAAATATTTTTAATTATTTAATTTAATGTATTTAAATTAACGAAACTATTTATGCTACTATAATCACCTTTTTTCTTTCAAGAGTTTGTGGTCAAAAGGGCAAAAACTATAATCTCATTTATCAAGTAGCATTAATTAGGCATAGCTGTCTTCACGATTAATTGTCGTGCTGGTAAGGAGCAGACGCATGTCCTAAGAATTGGAGGATTTTGCTTCCACGTTGGAGAGAACCGAAACTATTTGTAGTCACATATCGATTTGTAGGCCACTCTGTCTAATCCCTAAAACTCAACCAATGCCTTTCATTTCTCTTCTACGACGATTTTCTCTCCGAGTTTAAGGCAGCCGATACCTATGGCATCTAAAGTCATGTGTGCCATGCAACCATCCAACACTTTGATCCTCCTACGATTCGCACGACCTAACGCGTTTATTAATCTTGGAATTATCGATCCTTGCTCTCAACTATACGTTCTATCAATTTCAAAATTATTGAAACAGCATAAGAAACGGTTTGCTTCTCACTACTGATCACAACATCTGTCTTTCCTGTTGGGAAGAGACCCCAAAATAACAAATGCTTACGTTAAAAACAAGGAAACAATATGCAAATGATCCGTGGACCAAATCAAACATAAGAAAAATTAAATGGTTTTATTAAAAAATATACTCCCAACATAATTTCTAGTGCACTCTGACGTATCTCTTTTTTAAAAAATATTTATATAAAACAAACACTAATTAACAAGACAAAAAAAGGCCTTGATTTTTATATGATATCGAAGTTATACCTATTTGTTATCGGCGCATCAAAGGGGTGCCAAAATTTGGCAATAGGAATGAGATGTTACCATAGTTTTAATTTGGGTCATGGACTACAGGTTTTTTATCCATTAATTAGTCATTCATGATTAACGCATTTTTTAAAACAAATATTACCTCTCTTTCGAAACAAACACTTAATTCATCAAAATTAATAACAAATAATCATATATCATAAATTTATAAACAATTCCAGAAATACTTATAATAAACATTAATTAATGGCTTATATATATATATTAAATCAATAAATATATTTATTTATATAAATAAAAATAGTACTTAGTTAACACAAATATCACGATAAAAAATATAAAAAATAATTAATATATTTAAAAATGAGACTTTAGTTTTTATACCTATTACAAAAAATATTAGTAACTATTTTTTATAAATACAAAATTAGTAATTCATTGTACTTTGCATGATACAATTTTTTTAATCTTATTTATAGGATAACTTTTATCAAACTATCTATGTTAAAAAAAATATATGTTAGCATCAGTTGATGCATTAATTTTTAAAAGATCATTTTATAATATTTCATATTTAATTTTACTTAAAAAAATTAAATTCTAATTTAAATTCATTAAATCATTAATTCAAATTCACTATAAAATAAAAATAAAATTCAACTGCAAACAAGGGAATATTAAATACTTTTAAAATTTTGTAAACTATCTAATAAATAGGATCATGAAAATTTTCTTTAACGTCATCCTATAAAAGAATAATTTAATTACAATGAAGTGCCCATCTATTCTAGAGTGCATTGACGCTTCATTGTATTTAAACTCGTAAAAGAGACCAGATGAAATATAATTTATCCTTCATTGCTCATTACCCCATATTATACACCTCTTTGACTATTTTTGTTTGTTTTAAATATTTTATTATTTTATAAAATTAAAAAATAGTAATTAATTTTTCAATAACACGTGCATTTATTGGCATCATACACAAATAATTGTATATGGATATTTTTCTTAATAAATAACATGACACAAAAAAAAAAACGCGTGTGCATGTGTGGATATCAGACATGCATTACTTTATTTTCTATATAGAACAGGAAATCCCTTGTAATTCGATCATGGATTTTAGTTTTTGCCTCCTGCAAAATCACACATTGATATCCGATACAAATTTTGTTATTGTATATAATATTATATATAATTATTTTATGTTTATGCATCCGAAAAAATACATAAAAAATATAAAAAGATACCTAAAACTGTCTCCATGACATGTTCAAAAACATTTATCAGTTAGATACTTTACTCGTTTAGGTGATAAAAAGGGAGAAAAATGTAAAGACAAAGCTAATAAAAAACACGTTTTGGTAATCACTTACCTTAATTTGGAATCATGCAATGAAGGGGGGGAAAATGATGAAAATAAATCAATAATATTGCAAGTGTGACTGTTTGTTCTTTTATTTCTTTTGGATCATGACTGTTTGTTTTTGAATCTGCATATCTAATCGTACTTTTGGTTGGCGGGGCCTCCACTCTTGAATGAATAAGCCAAGTAGTTGTTGGACATTAAGAAGAAAAAAGTACCTAAAGAAAGCACACTTTAGTTCAACACATTGGGTGAGCATTAGCGATAGAGTATCAATGCTAAGCGTACTTGTGACTCACGGCTAGTAATGTGAGGTTAGAGAGAGTATGGATCTCGTGGTAGAGAAGCACTCTCCTATATAGCGCTGTATTACATGTGACTCACGGCTAGCTAAGTGAGATTCAGTCTGAAATTCAACATGCATTATTGCTTGGTCCCACAATCTTCCAAAAGCCATGTTTGATCCTTGCTTCAGGTGGCTAACCAAGTCGCTTTGGGTAGTGTACGTAGGAGTGATAAAAAAACTTGCATGAGTGTAAAGCCTCGTGTTGACATGTTGGATTAAGGGATCATTAACAAGAACTTATGGAAATAATATATTTTTTAGCTGTAAATAAGCAGCGGAAATGGTGCTACTAGCATTACAATATTCGAATAAGACTAGTCAAGGAGATAATGCATAACTAGCCCGTGTGAGTGCTAAAGCTACGAAATATGATGATATGTTATAATTCATTTGTAAAGCATGTAATTTAAGTCTCACGTTAAAGGTACGAGACTTATAAGACTTTGAGTTCTTCAATTGAAATGACAAACTTTTGAAACCTAATTTTCGTAAGGTTCTTACATTATAATAAAAACATTAATATATTTTATTAAAATAAACACTTTTTAGTTTATTAATTTTTATATTAAACTCTTTAATCCCAAACGCACAATAAAACACGTGCAATTGGTTCAAAACAAAATGAATGAAGACATATAGGACCACTTTGGTATTATCTTTCCCTCCGTTCCGATCTTCCCAAGAACAAAAATTGCATACTTTCTTTTCCTTTTCTTTAATTGTATTTTCCTACCAAACAAAGGATGGCCTTCGTTTGTGGCTCCTCTTTTTTTATTCCCTTCTATGTGTGCATGCCAAATAGAAGAAGGGAAACATGGAGTAAATAAGGGTGAAAAGGAAGCAATCAAGGCAATAAACGTAAGGGTTTAAACTTGGATAAAACCAAACACATGCTGACCTATAATAGCAGGTCATGTATACGCCGGGTAACCACGCTTAACATTTTTTTTTCTTGTATAGAAGAAACCTCCACTTTAGACACGCACTCAAATTACAGACACATTTCAAATGAAATGATTACTGCAGCAAAATATTTGAAGACATGAATAGTCGAAAATCCGCCCATGAAACGCTTTATTTTCATTATTTTAACTATTTATATGCTGTAGCAATTAATTAAAAAATGAATGAATAATAGGAGTTATAAATTGGCTGCTGCATCTACGTGCATATGAAAACAAAGTTACAATTATAAGCTAGCTAGGATAGAAGCTTATATAATTATAAGGATCACAAGATCATATTTTGGTGATATTGTTGTGAAAAAAATGGCAAGAGAAACAATTTTTTTATTACTATATTATTAATTAAATCAACATTAAATAATACATTATCTTCAAATATGCTATTGAATTGAAAAATGAGTGTGTATGATACTGAAAGTTTAAGTTTGTTTTAAAAAATTTCTTGCTGGCTGGCTGACAGTGGAAAAGCTAGCAACTAGCTCAAATGATAATAAATTCATGATGAAGCTGTCAACAATAAAGGAGTGCAATTGTTTCACTTCTTTAAAGAGACCAAGTTTGTCATGAACCGATCCCCGAGTAGCTGTGTCTTTCTCTGAGTTTCATTTCCCAAGAAAAGTCAGATACTCTACATTTACTCTCTCTCTCTCCAAATGCTTTTCAATTTGAAATGCTAAAAGATCTCATCTCACTATTACTATGACTCCACGAAAAGGAAGAAGAAGCTGATATAGCTGATCCAAGCTTTTCCTGAGATGGTTTCTGAATTTTCAACAACTTTAGAAGCTCCATAAATACATTACACTAAAACACACATATCAGACATACAGACACTAATAGAATAGAAGAGAAGCTCTATTTTCTCTTTCTCTTTTTTTCATGTTTAGTTTGCATCAGCTTATGCATGCAGCTAGATACATCGTCATGATAATGGAAGCTGCTGGTGTGGTCATATAGATCATATATCTGTTCTCTGGCTAGCTAGCAAAAGTGGCAGAGACATAGAATCCCTAGCTAGCTTCTCCTGATTCTCGTTAACTGTTCCAGCACATCTC